AGATCTATAGTCAGCAACTGGAACGTTTAAATCAAGCCCTTCATGAGAAACGACCTTCACTCATCAATAGGAAAGGTGTTCTTCTTCTTCTCCACGACAATGCACATCCACATGTGGCACGTTTCACACAACACTAGATTATAGAGTTTGGTTAGGAAGTTCTCCCTCCACTCACCATATTCTCCAGATATGGCACCATCAGATTACCGTCTTTTTCGTTCGCTGCAACACCATCTTACTGGGAAAACGTATGCAAATGTGGAAGGTGTTAAAGAGAACATCGATATGTTTTTTGCTTCAATGCCAAGTGATTTCTTTAATCAGGACATTAACAACCTGATTGTAAGATGGAAAAGCATCATCAATAAGAATGGAGACTATTTCATTAAATAAATGTTTTGTTTTGATATATAATTTGTCGGGTTTTTTCATCTAAAAAAAGCGACACTAATTTCTTGATGACCTAAAACATTTTAGTCCAAATACATCTTTAATTGTCGATCAATCGTAAACTACTCGCTTCTAATTGACAGGAAGCCAAACTACTTAAACTACGTAATAAGATACACACTGAGTTTTATAGTATTATATTTATTATTGACACATTGATATAATTTTTATATTTTAATTACGTTTCGAAAAATGTTTATTAAGACAAATAAAATGGCAACATAACTTGAACAAAATTTTAGATTATGGTATAAAATAATTTGAAAAGAAGACACTGGTGCAGGCAGGCATGTAGATCAATGTTATTCTCTCGTATCAAACCATCAAAATTCAATTTGATTAAAACTAATATTTCGCTTGGCTGTGACTTTAAATCTTGGATATGTCTAATTTTGACCTATACATAAACGTTCCGCAGGCTTGATTTTACGTTTCGTTGTAAATAAAGCAGCCAATTACGATATTAAATAAGTAAAATAAGTTATGTTTATTTAACATGTATGATTCAAATATACCTAGAAGAACCATCTCATTTTGTCTTAACTTGTTTTAGATATTTTTGTGTAGTTTTTATCATACCAAATTCTTGTTAGTCTGGGAGCCACTCCTGATTCTTTCGACCACCTTACTTCACTACTAAAACTTGTAAGTGTGGCTTAGGTTTTTATTGATATACTGATTAAGAAACAAATCTGATTTAGCGAAAGTGGCCAAAAAAATCCAAGATGGCTACCAAAGCTTAATTAGAAACTCATTTGTTTTCATCATTTTGAAGCTCATTAATTCAATAAGTCTGGATTCGAATACTATGGACAGAACAATCAATTTTAAAGTGTTTAAACACTCGAGTTTGTCATAAAATCGCTGCTAAGCCTTATATTGCAAGTTTGGGCTTCTTTTGGCAACTAATGGTTTCAATCGTAGGTTCTTCTGTCATTTTTTTTTCATTTTTGTACCTTGTTAAGCTCAAGATTTACTATGTTTATTGCCACTGAATGCACTTGACCTTTTTCTGGTTTCTGTAAACTTTTTATCATTCTCTGTCCCTGCCCACAGCGGTATGTCTGCGGACTTACAACGCAGAGCACATTGTGTAGCTTTGTGCTTAATTACAAACAAACAAAAATTTCTGTCTCTCTTGTGAGTAATTTATGTTCCTATTTACTAAATACATTTTATGAACCTAGATCAGTATCTGCCCCCCCAGTGGCACAAGGGCATGTCTGCAGAATTACAACGCTAGAAACCGGGTTTCGATACCTGTGGTGGACACAGCACAGATAGCCCATTTTGTAGCTTTGTGCTTAACTTCAAACAAACAGATCAGTATAACCTTGTTTTTGTTCTTCAGTCTGTATTCATATCTTAAGATTGTTCTTCATCCATTTCTATCCTAGCTCACTAATGTTTAATTCGCCCATACATTTCCATGAAAGATAGCAAGATATCTTCATTTTTAGACATTTACAATTTCTAGAACAATCACGAGTGCACTGACAGAAACATTCATTTCATAGATTTACCGGACAGTTATGTGTCGTTTTTAGCAATGGCCGCACACAGTAGAAAAGTAGCGGATATTGTTGATGTCGACTCATCATCTCTAACCTAGTTCACGATTTGAATGATAGCTCTAAGCATGTATACAACAATACATGTATCAGCTATTGATGGATGATTTTAGGGTTCGGCATGTGAACATACACGTGAACTGTCTAAAGAGTTTAAACTGTTAAAAGATCGTTTTTCTATTCAAACTGTTACCCCTGTTCTTCTTTTATACTATATACCGAGTCCACGGTTTGCCACATACTGAAAACATGGAACTTTACTATTATCAAAAATTAATCCGTTTGTATCACATCCTTTTATTGCATCTAGAAATAGGAGCATGTTTTGGTTGTTTGTATTCAAGCTTTCATAAGTAATATGGAATGGTATGAAATATCTTTAGTGTTAATGTACAACTCATTTGTCCACCATTAATAAATATATACTGAAATTACGAAGATCTCAGTGTCTAAAACCAATGACACATGTTTAATGACGCTTTGGGCCGTGTCTTATATGCACAAAGAACCTGGTCTCTGCCTTCTGATGAGTGCGTGACAAAGACACAATATACTATCTGCAAGCACTATTTTCTTTAATTTACAAACATAAACTATAGATGATTATCATTACTATTCTAATTGTGAAGAATGTCTTCTCAGTTGAGTTCAAGTAACCCTGGACACTCTCTCTGTTTGCATCTTCTCATGCGACAGCCATTTGCTTGATCTCCTCGCTTTCTTGATAAATTCGATGGTACTTGTCCGAAACCAAATTAATTTCTTCTTCTCTGTCATCTCTCGAGATTGATCGCAGCTCTTTTGGAAACACTTCGCTAATTTTTTTTTAAGTGGCTGTTGTTTGTCTGTAACAAAACATGCTCTTGGAATGTTATATACAATTTCATTCCAGCACTAAATCATCTAGCACGTATCATATTTTGTAATTCTTTTCTAACTTTTTTCGTAATGTCTGTGTATTATTTTTGACAAATTATACACTTCGTAAAATCTGTAGAGATTCTACTCTTTTTCTCAAGTTGTCATCTTTTTTAGAAAAAAAAAACCTGTACAATTTCAAAATCTTTGGGTCCTCTGTATCACTCAGGTACAAAAATGGGTCCATATAAAGTTGAACAAATGATATTAACTTGAAAGATATAATTGTAAAAATTCTGAAACAAAAGTAAAATTAGAAAAAATCATTTCCAATGGCCATATTTAGATATTTTTGTCAATGATTTATATAATTCGTTTTTTTATCTAAAGTTTTATCTAAATTTTATCTAAAAGTTGTTTCTAAAGTATGGGCAAGTACAAAAAGACAACACAACTTCATTTAAACGAGAAAAATACGGTTTATTAAGCTGCTATTCATGGAGAAAAGAAGACATAAAAATATCAAATTTTGGCGACCATGTTGAATTTTAACCATTTTCACTGATTCCATTTTAATTGTCCGATTTCTTATACATGATATAAAAAGGTATAAAAAGTTTATTACGAATTATAACATAATAACGAATCACGTGAAAAACACAGATCTGAGTAAAAATTGCTTCTTGTAGACATTACGGTCTCGGATTAGCTAATGGATTATTTATAAAAGAAAAATTTCTACTTTTTCGTATTTTATATTTCGGTGCCACACATTGTTAAGAAAATTATTACTATATTTTTTTGTAATATTTTTCAGTCAAAAAATTCTCAGAAACAAAATGTTTATTCAAAACATAAGAATATATAATGGTTATAATAATCTTTTTTATGTAGGTATAAATTCACTAATCCCATAGTCAAGGAACTTTCTTTTGAATTATTTTTTCTGAAAAACGTTTTAAGTAATAAACGTAATGCTATCATATCATCATCATGTGTCATCTGCTCGGAGCAGGTTGACTGTCATGGAGCGCCATTGTTCTCTTCTTTTCCCCATTCTAACACAGTTACTGTATGATCTCATCCAATCTCTGATGTTATCCATCCACATTCATTTTCCCTTCTAGCAACAGTCTTTGTATTCCATTTCTTCTAATTATATGTCCAAAGTAGGCACAGTTTCTTTTCTTGATAATTGATAATACTGTTCTTTTAGTTTTCATCATTTCTAATACTTGTTCATTAGTCTTATGTTCTGTCCAAGATATTTTCATTACTCTCCAATAGGTCCACATTTCAAATGCTATAATCTTTTTAGCAAACACTTTAGATATTGTACACGTTTCAGCACCTTATAATAGGGTCTCTTCCGTGTTATGTTAATATTTTTAACATGCTGTTAAATACACTCCTAGCTATTTCTATTCTTCTTTTAATTTCCACGTCGCTCTTACCATCTTCAGTTCTTATGTGTCTTAAATATATGCAATTTTTGATTTGTTCAATTGATGTTCTCTCAAAAGCTGGATTGATTCTAGGTACATCTTGGTTCTTAGTTACTACCATTGATTCCATAGTATTTTCCTTTTTCATTTATTTCGTTTTCCAACTCTTGTAGATCTGATACACTTAGAGTTAGCAATGCTGTGTCATCTGCATATCTTAGGTTGTTCATGTTCTATTTCTCTAAATATTTTTTTATGTATAGGTTAAACAAAGTAGACGATAATATATATATATATCCTTATCTTACGCCTTTCTTGATCTTAAACTCTGCGGTTACTCCCTGTTTTGTTCTTACTACTGCTGTTTGTTCCCATTACATCTTGGTGCAAACCTGGAGATCTCTCCAGTAAGCAATGCTATTATATACCTGAGATAAATTTTACTAGTAATAACCATAAAGCAACTAAAGGTAACTTGTGAAACACGGGAGAAAAACAAACAATTATTTCTAAGAACTCCCAATGGCAGTCTGTTTTTGTAATTTTTATAATAGAGTTTAGAAAACACCAATAATTTTGTTTTTTATGCATGGAAAACTTGTAAATAAACAACAACAAAAAACACTGCATTTCATTTCGCTCACCTAGCTATAAAAATCTAGGAGAAAAGTTACGTTGTGATATGGAGTTTTTAAGGTTATCGAAATATAACTTACATTGGATTCACTTTGCAACATTTGCTTCAAATATACAGTTTATTATATTAAGAAAAAATGAAGCGTTTACATTATAACGTACAATTTCTTTCAAATAATGTTTTTTATTCCTATATCTGTATTTTTAATAGATAAGATAAAGGAAATGGAAAGAGGAATGATTAGAATTAATATAGTATTAACGTTATTTATTGTCGGCTATAGGAGTTCTTGAATTATATCGTAACTCAGAGGAAGGTCCATTTCATGAAGAAGACGAAGAGGTAAGATGTTATTAAAAGTCACTGTTGCTAGGTGTAAAGTAAATTTCATAAGACTCTTGGCCTAAGTCTAAAAATAGATGTATGTCTTATGTTATATTATGAAAATTTGGAACGAAAAGGAATCTAGCTTTATTTTATAAACAACAAAACAAAAAACTACTAACAAGAGGACCTGATAAACCGAAATTATCTATGTGTTATTTAATTATCTAATCAAAATTGTATATTTTTTAAGTATTTAACGTCAGGCTACGTGTCAGGCACAATATCTGCTAACGTCAGGCTATGTGTCAGGCACAATATCTGCTAAAGAGATGGACTAATGAATAACTATTAATACTTGTAAATCTAGTTTTGTTGCTGTTTTTTTATATTGTTTCTGTTCTTAATTCATTTGTTGAATATATTTTATATGCTAAGGGTATTTGTGGCTAAACTGTAAATATAATAGCAATATATAACTAGCATACTTTCCTATTCTAGCATGTAAATAGAGTGGTGATATTTATTTAAAAGGTTAATGTTACGTCTAGCACAGATACACTAGATTTTAATTTTCAGTTGCTCCTCCTACTTGTGACATCGAAGAACAGAAAAAAAAACCCAACCAAAATCATCAAATGTTAATTGTATATTTATATTTTTGCCATGACTCTTATATGTACTCATCATTATTAAACGTGAACTTCTAATTACCACAGCATGAAAATAGTTATTAACAAACAAATCCAAAGGATTGAAATTTCATCTATTCACTTAATTTTTCAAAACATGAAAAGCTATAGTGTAATCAAAACTTAAGTTCATAAAGCTTGAATGTTCTTCTAATGACTGCTAAAAATTTTAATTTTTAAAAATATAAAATATCTTGGTATTGGCGAAAGGCCTCATCAGCACTGGATATGGCAGATATAGTGTGGTTGACATATTATAATATATTATCCTTTGCTTTCACACATAAGTTCTTAAAACAGTTAATTTATCAAATTAGAAATATAATTTTCGTAATCTTTATATGCTAAACAGGAATTTTTTTATTAACACCGTTAGATGGAGCTTTTAATTATATTTCTCTAATTCAAGTGCAAGTTAACTTTTTTTTTTTAATGGAAAAAGTTAACACTTTGAAGTTTAAAACATATTTTTCCTGGATTAACAGCAGTTGTTGATTAAGAAATGAATTTTTACTTCAATAATGTTACGATCATTAAATGTTTACAACAGAATGCATAAAATTATCAAATATTTATCATAAACAATACTTTGGCAATGAGCAATACGACGTTCGTTGGTTATTACTTCACAGTTACAATAACATTAATCAAGAATCAGTTATCATAGTGGGTATATTTATGAATGTGGTTTCTGTCCGAACAATCCCCCAAAAATTATATTTTTGAACAAAATGATGGAAATAAATAACACACAATTCTGCAATGAACAATTTATCAGAGCGCAGTTAAAATATTTAGTACAAGTAGATATCGTTGCCCTGACTGAATTTACTTATGTTAGTATTACAGTTTTTTCAGATATAAATATGGCAGTTTATACGTACAAACACGGTAATTCCAAATATTTCTTGAGGGTGACTTATAAATATTGAATTATTATATTAAATCTACTGTATGAAACAAAGTGTGTGTCCGGGAAAAAAGTACTCGGTCGAATATCCGTGATTTCATATCTGTTCCTTATACGTTTCCACATTTCTTGATCAATCAGCACCAAACTTGACACAGCTATACAGGATGACATGAGGAAGGTCATAAGGGGGGGGGGGGGCGTGGACCCCCATCTTATTTCATATTGATAGAATTCTTCAAAATAATGTCTTTATTTTCAATATTGGTACCTTCATGTATTTGTATTGCTCTTTTAATGTTTATTATGTTAATAAAACAAAAATAGAAGCACAATTTCTTATCCTTTGTTACAAACGAGTTTTCATTTCACCCGTTCCACGGACGGGTTCTCCAGCTTGTAATTGATAATTGCTTTGTTAGGCTAACTTTAAAATATAGTAGTCAACTAAAGTTTAAAGTAATTATTTCATATTGGCTTGCCATTTTTGCATAAATTAATGATTATTTTAATATTTTTTTAGTTTTACCTTTGAATGTTAACGTAATGAAAAATTTATGGAAACGCTTCTTTTATCAGATTATCAACAGTTATTTAGTATGGGGAGGAATCGCTCTTCACTATGCCGAGGTAAGCATACAGTATACAGCATATAAGTATACAGTAATATTTAATGGAATTCAACAGAACCAAAACAAAGAGATGTGAGAAAAATATAAGAAGAGATCATTTTTGTATCCAAACTCTAACTTCAAGTTCTACTACTGTTTAATATACTTTATATTTGTTAGCGCTTTTCAATAACATCAATAACGAAGTCTAAAATGCAAAATAATCAAAAAATACTAGCTTCTATTAGAAACCGCCGTCCTTCACACGCGTTACCCTCTTCTAACCATCTTTATTCATTGGCAGGACTTCTGCAATTTCTTTCTAGTTCGTGTCTTCTTTAACCCCATCTTTCCAAGACTTTACTAGTCTTCACTGTCTTCTCTTGCTGGCTACTGACAGCTTTAATGTTCTCCTTATTACTTCTTATTCTTCACGTGACCGAACCACCTCAACCTCGCTTCTTTTGCCTTTTCCTCTATTCCACAGATTCGTTCCATTTCCTTATTCGTTCTCTTCTTTTTTTTTTCAATGACACAGCCATTATCATTTCTGTTCTTATCGATAAGCCGCCTTATTTCTTCTTCGGGGTCTCGGCTCTGTACTGGTGTAATCATGATATTTCAGTAACCTTGGTAACCTTTTGTCACAGATGACTGTAGCTACTTCCTTACATTTCTTCCATCACTTCTGGATTTTTTCCCCTCACAACTGGATTGTACTTCTCAAGTAATTGAGGTCTTTTATCTGTTCCAGTGGCTTCACGTTTACGTATGTGATCTTAACCTTCTTCTTTCTACCTCTTCCACTCACCATGACTTTCGTTTTTCTGACATTCAAACTTCTTCTGCAACACTTTAACTTCCGTTTATAACTCCTGTTCACTTTCAGTTGTTAGGACCAGGTCATCAGTAAATAATACTTCCCTCGGGGTCCCTTACGATAATCAAAGCATTGATGACAAACAGCAAAAAGATCACGACTGACCCTTGGTGCAGCCCAACATTTTCTTTAAACTTGTCTGCTTCTCCATATACCGTCTTCACGATTGTTGTCGCTCCTTCACAACTGGCTCTCACTAATCCGGTTGGCTTTTCGGGCACTCCTCTCTTATCGGAAGTAACAGTATACTAATTTTCGTGGCACCCTGTCATACGCTTTCTCCAAAACTATAAATACATGGTGTAACTTCTTATTTATTTCAAAGTACTCCTCTCGCAACTATTGCAGAATGAAGATTGTGTCTATTTTTCCACTCCCAGTCCGAAACCTAAACTGTATTTCGTCGATGTCTAAGATTTCCCTTATTCTTTTTTTCCAGAGCCTTTTATTTTACTTTCAGGGATATTACATGAGTTTTATTACTCTATAGTCTTCATACTCAAGAGCATCTCCTATTTGCTTGTAGATGGGTATAAATCGGCTCTCTCTCCATTTTGCGGGCATCCGCCCTTCCCTCGAGATGTTCTTTAACAGGGTCCGTACGTACTCAACTCCATCATCTCCTAGCACCTTGACCATCTCAATGACAATCTTTGATAGACCTTCTGCCTTGCCTGTCTTAATTTTTCTGTTTGCTTATTGGGCCCCCGCTCAACTGATATCCAGTACTGGGCCAGCTATTGGTAATGTCTCCTTCAATTCTTCAGCCTCAGTTTTGGTATTGAGCAGTTCCTCGTTGTACTGTTTCCATTTCTGTTTTACTGCCTTTTCATTCATCAGGAATTTTCTTTCTTTTTTCCTTAATTACTTTGATCATTGTGATGTTTCTTTTTGCCAATTCCCATTGCTTATCCATTCTGTATACCTTCTTCTCCCTTTCTAGTATTTCCATGTTGTCATACCAACTTCTAATTTTCTCGTTCTTCGCTACTGCTACCATTCTCTTCGCCTCGTTTCTTACTTTTGTGTACATCATTTATGAACAGTCATCCTTCTTTATCTATCATTATTTGAAGAATTCTTACTTTTTCCTTGATAGTCTGCTGTATTTTTTCGCCCCACCACAATGCTTCCATGTGTTCAGGTTCTCTCCCTTTAGTTTTGCCGCAAGTGTTTTCTGCCTCTTGAACCAGTACTTTCTAGATACTCTGTAGATTTCCAGCAGTCTTTCGTTTCACTGCCTCTCATCAAACAATAATTACTAATAGCTATCTAATTCTTGCAGAATTAAAGCGGTAAAGGAAGGTGAATATGCGTTGTTACTGAAAGCTTTCTTTCACTCTGATATGAAGACAACTCTAATTTGTACATACAGAGACCTAACATACTGTTGGTAGTTATGTGGCTGTTGTGGCATTTATTAAAAGATTTCTTTGACTCTTCACAAAGATAGATGCTTTTTTTACATACTTCAACGCTTTCAGTGCCCTTAGAGTTGTAAATTGGGACTAGAATGACATAAACATAGTCTAAATTTAGTCAAAGGTCTTTTTTTTAATTCAATACACGTTTGACATCTCATCATTGTCTTAGAAGTAACTTGTTATTAAGGTATGCGATAAAAGAGTTAACGCGAACCTAAGATGAGAATTCATCTCTAATTAATTTTTTGTCTTCATATGTTTCCCTACATACATCCAATATCTTCCAGTTAGTCTCCACAAGCTGTATTTCGACACTCTTAATTCAGTTTTACGAGTTTTATTGCTCCTGGGCCACCCTCCATACTTCTGTCGATTTGGAGATTCAAATATTTCTTTTATTGGAAATTTTTAGGTATAAAAGTACTAAGTGAAGCTTATATTAAATATTCCAATCTATTTGTAACTGAAATGAAGTTAATATACACAGTTCGTCAATTAGACTTACATTTCCTTATACAGTTTCTTTCTAGAAATATAAAGAGTAGTTTGAGAAAATAAAACTGTCTCGGAGGTTTCTGAGAATACGTTGCTTTTTTCTAACAGTTTTTTTTTCTTGCAAATTACTTCAGTAATAACTTTACTTAGTAAAACAAATATATATATATAACCTTTATGTACTTACAATTGTGATAACTGTAGCTTTAAAGTCCTTTTTGACTACACTTTTTTTTTGTTGTTGTTGTCAATTCCAACTTGAATCTATAATCAGATATTTCGCCGTTTTTAATTTATTAGATAATTTTACACTATAATTGCCAGGTCGGTTTGACATGATAATTTTATTGTTTTCATTTCCAAACATTTGTATCCATCTGTAACTAAATAACTGGAAAATGTGACAAATATTTTGTTTTGTAAACACAATATTTGCAATTTCAGATGTATTCGAAATTGGCACGACAGAGAAAACTCAATAATTTCCTCCTGGCAGTTGTGAGGTAAGTTTAAATGCGTTAAGTTTGTAAAAATGGATGACAAATAAGAAACTTTAGTAAAGTTTTGAAGATGTAGGTTAGTAATTTTTGAAGATAGCTTTTATATGCGGAAACATCTGTTAGCTGAGTTCTTGCACAGATCTTAAAATATAACGTT